TTTTTTCGTGTCAAACAACGAAAATATAATCAATCTGTAACAAAAATTAATTGTAATTATATAATAAAATATATATTAATAATAAATTCTAAAATATTAGATCAATACCAAGAAAAAATAAAATTGAAAAAACTAAAAAAAAATGTTCCAAAATATTATAAACTATAAATACTATATTTGAGAAAATATCAAATATTTTTATATATTTTTTAAATATTGTTTTTAAAATTTATTTTTATTTTTTTTATAAAATGATTATTTTCAATAATATTTTTACAATATTTTTTACATAAAATTTTTTACATAAAATATATATTTAATAGATATTTAACTACTTGCAAATTAATGGCAATTATTGATAATAGTAAAAAATAATAAAATCATTACTAAAAATTAAATTTTCACAACTGGTTAATTAGAATTTACTGCAAAATCCTTGTCAACAAAAAAAAGAAGTAGCACATTCACAGAACTGCATACACGTCTCCATATTGGAAGAAGAGACAGGTTACAATGTAAATCCGCGTGACCGACATCCGCTCGCAGCAAGGAGTGCCTGCGCACTGTGTCTAGCATTCCCCTTTTATCTAGGACTACTACGTTCGTTGAACTATTGATATCTCCTAATTTTTTGTTAATATCGGTAAAAAAGCTCTGCACGATGTATATGTTCAACTTTTCACGAAACATAGAGATAGAAAGTATCTATTAATAAAGTTTCCATTTCCGACTACTGCGTTCGAAGTCCAAAATACTCATCCCAAAATCTCTGTTTATGTGAATGGTTAAAGCAGCTTTCGTGAATATTGCACAAATTTAATATTTTTATTTTAACTTTAAGCGTAATTTTACAAAAAATAATAATTGAATGTGTATGATCAAATTTAAAATATTTGTATGAAAAAAAAATTTTTTAAAAATATAAAAATCTTATATATCATACATTAAAACATTCACATAAAATGATGAATACAAGGAAAATATTATGGTGAAAAATGAAATCACTTTCAAGGTTGCTCATTAACGCAAAATATATACAATTTTAGTAATATATATATAGTAATTTATAGTAATATATATAGTAAATAGTAATTTATACAAAGGTTATATACCTTTATTTCATAAACATTAAATACATTTGTCATAATTTACGTAAAATTAAAATAATTTTATATGTATACTAATATAATATACAAATCAAATTTTAAATAAATACCAAAATATTAATTAATAAAAAAAAAATTTATAGGAAAAAAACTTTTGCATACTTATATATTGTGTAAAGTAGTTAATTGCTGAGGTTAGCTAGAAATGCGTAGGATTAACAGAAACGTAAGCTTCTATATTCTATCTCTATATTCTCATTTTACTTTAACGGAAAAAATGATTGCTAAACAATATATGAGATTAAGTATATATTATATTGAAACTATGATAGCATTTATATCGGTAATTGCAACATTGAATTACTTGAATATTTTATTCTATAATGAATAATTATTTATCTACATTTACAGAATCTTTATTTTCATGACGTGTTTACTGCATGGTCCTTCATACGAAAAAAAGGTTGGGATGTGGTATGTCACCTTCAATAAATAAAATTATAAGGCAAATATGTTTGCAAAACTATTATATAAATATAATACGTAAAATTGAAATGTCAGTCATGAATGAGAAATGTATTCATATTAGAAATTATTCAAGGCTATTATCAGATAAATAATTTAAAGAAATAACCTATATATATAATTAGTAGCAAAAAGCAAAAAATTTTCAAAAAATAATTAAAAGTAAATATATCTATTATTATAAAAATACTATTATTAAAATATGTGATATTTTGAAGACAATTAAAAAACAATCTATTCTAAAATTTATATAAAATCTACTTAATATACTGAATTAGAATTCAGTATATAAAACTTACATTATTGTGATTATGAGATATAAATTCTACGATACATGTGCCACACATTCACAGTAGGCCAGTGGCACTTGCACTTGCACTATGCCCGTTAAAGAAAATGACAGGAAATTGTACGATCCACACCCAAAAATCTCGTCACGTTCGGACAATACTGACACCTCACTGATAATATGGCTGCCGCCTGCCCACCCGCTCGCTTAATTTTCTTAAAAAGGAGGGATAAATCATGAACTATGTATACAAGATAGATGAAACAATCCACTATAAAATAGTAATTCAATACTAAATACAATCAAAGAATATATTATATTTTTTTCCTAAGTTTTTTAATAATTTTATCATATTATCATTTATCATTTATCATTTAATATTTGTATTTTATTTTTCTTTAAATTATTTACTTTTAATTTTAATATATTATAATTTTTTCAATTTCTAAATTTTTTTATTAAAATTTACTAGATCATAACAGAAAGAATATATATATTCTTCATATTTAAAATTAAATTATAATATTTTATAAATATAAATTCTATCATGTATATATAAAATTTTATAATTTATTTGCTTTTATTTTAATATTTATAAAAAATGATTTATATAAAAATAATTAATGTTAAATTATATACATTTATATTTGTAAAGTAAAAAATATAAAATTACTATGTAATTGTTGTTTTTAAATATAATATATAAATATTTTTTTGTATTTTTATTAATCCAAAAATATCATTATTCATTCTTTATTATCTCTTTTATATCAAATGAATATTCTTATATAAATTTTATTATTATTTCATAAATTTAATGCTCTGTTTTGATATTGTATGTCAAATTTTGTCATTCTTAAAATTGTGATCTTATGGTAATGAATGTTCGTAAGAATGAAGATTTTTTTTTTACATTTACAAGTAAATTATAGTACATTCTAAGTTTCTAGTATTTATATTTAAGTGTTGAAACACTGTATTCACAAGAAATGTAAGTAAATGGTAAAATTATGATAGTAAAATTGTAATAGTGATATATCATTTTACTATAAAAATAAATTCTTATTGACTTACAAGTGAAATTTGCTGCATTTCACTTTCTTGTTCATTCCTTCATTTTTAATTTGTTATTTTTTAAATCCATTAAATACCATCATAATCTAAACTATTTAATATCAAATATCTTTCATTTCTCTTAACCTAATTTGATAAAATTCTGCTTATGACAAGAAAAACAGGTACAATAAAGTTTAATGTAATATTGATTTTAACTTAATATATATTTGCACAATCATCTTTAATGCAAATTAAATTTTTTCAGATTTCAGTTAAAGACGATAAATTGAAATATTTATCTCTAAATTGAATTTTATATATAATTTAATTTTATTCATCTTTTTACTCTAAATCAAAACAAAATTTTAAATGATGATAATGACATATATCTTTTTTAAAGAAATATGATAATATCAAAATAATGTTTTTATTATAAATATTGTGTATTTAAAGTTTTAAATAAGAAAAAATAAGAGAATTTAAAAGAGAATGTGTTATTTTTAGGATGTACCACATGTTTTTCATAAATAGCATATCCCATCCACACTTCTGATGCTTTCAGTATGAGAGAAATAGAAAAATATGGTTAGTTACTGATATCTGTTTTCTCCCAAATATTATCATAAACATTAATTATTACTTTTTTATTATTTGCAATATAATATTACAAAAAGTATGTATATATAAGCATGCATATCATTTATTTTGAATTTATCAAATTCAGTTTCATTTTTTTTTTAAATTTCTATATTTCTATATTTCATATTATGTATGAATAAAATAAAATAAATTATAGCATATAATGTAAATAATATAATTTCTATTACATATAATAATATAATACGTAATAATAAAAGATAATTGATTTAATCATAATATAATTTATTTAATTTTGGTTTAATTATTATACATAATATTATAATGAAATTTTTATTAATTATATAATATAAAAAAATTAGTTTAATAAGATATTAAAATAATTGAAAAAATTATCTTTTGAGTATAAAAAGAATATATATAAATAATTATTTATTATTTATTATTTATTATTTACATAGATTGTAATATATATAAAAAATACAAATATTAAATAAAAAAAGAAATCTATTTTATATTATTATTTGTGTAGGCAAACTGGAATAAAAAGCGACGTTTGGCCAGCGAGCCTGTTATAGCAGTGGATCCTTTACATAAAAAAAAAGATATGTTTTGTTGGGGTAGTACTATACATGGGGAATTAGGTTTGGGTGGTATAGAAGATGAAAATATTTTGATTCCCCGTGAACTTGATTTTAAAAAAGCTGCAGAAATACAGCAAAGTAAATTTATAGAATCATATATTTATTTATATTTATTTATATTTTATTATATATATATATATATATTATTATTTATTTTTAAATAATTTTTCTTTATAGTTGCATGTGGTGAAAATTATACAGTAGTTATTACTCAAATTGGTGAAATATATTCATGTGGGAATAATGATTATGGACAACTTGGTCATGAAAAAGGAAGAAAAAGATTACGTAAGTAAAAAATATAAATAATCAAATTAGATTTATATTAAATTGAATTAATTCTATATTTAGAATTGATACCTGGATTGGATGCATTTGTATTCAAAAAAGCAGCTTGTGGAGCATATCATACTTTAGCAATAAATGAATGGGGACAATTATTTAGTTGGGGATCTAATACAGAAGGCCAACTAGGTAATATTATTTGTAAATATTAAAAAGTTATTTATAGATATTGTATTTAAAAGTTCCTATTTATTATTTTTTTATGTTTATATTTTATAACTTTACTATACTAACTTTATTATAGGTTTAAATTCTAAAAATTTTATGGAATCTTCACCACGTATGGTAAAAACCTTAGGAACAAGTGTAGTGGTACAGATAGCTTGTGGAATGAAACATGCATTTGCATTAACAAATAATGGAGAATTATATAGTTGGGGTTCTAACAGTGAAGGGCAGCTTGGTTTAGGTACTGATACTAAATATGAAATAAAGCCCAAATTTATCAGTGCCTTTATTGGAATTCCTATTGCCTTTATTGCCTGTGGAGGATATCATAGCATAGCTATATCAAAATCAGGTATTATAAAGATATGAAACATATAAAAAATCATTTTTATAATAATGAAAATAATTAAATTTTACTATAGGAGCTGTATTTGGATGGGGAAAAAATACATTTGGTCAATTAGGATTAAATGACACACAAGATAGAAATTTACCATGTCAGTTACAAACATTACAAAATGCAAAAATATGTTATGCAGCTTGTGGAGAAGAATTTTCTGTATTTTTAACAGTAGTAAGTGTTTTCAGTTGTTGAAAAATAATTTTATCAATATTATTGTTGAAAATATAATATTATTAATAATATTAATAATATCATTTAACATTTAAATTAGGATGGTGGAGTATTTACATGTGGTGCTGGAATGTATGGTCAATTAGGACATGGAAGCAATAGTAATGAAATTTTACCTCGTCAAGTGATGGAACTTATGGGTAGCACAGTTACACAAGTATGTTATACAAAAAAATAGTTTTATATCTTGTATCTATTAATATAATATGTTTATATTATTCAATTTAATTTTAAGATTTCATGTGGTAAAAGACATACTTTGGCATTAGTACCATCAAGAGGTAGAGTTTATGCATGGGGTTTAGGTGGTGCAGGACAATTAGGTAATCATTCAACTCGAAGTGTAACAACTCCACAAGTAGTACATGGTCCATGGATTGCACCAAATGGTTCAACAATAATAGACGTTAATAAGCAATTCAATTCTCGTACAATTGGTTATGTTGTTAAACATATTTTCACTGGTGGAGATCATTGTTTTGCCACAGTAATTTCACAGAATGTAAATATTTTCTTACAATTAGAAATAATAAAATACATATGAATGTAATTTATTAATGATAGTAGTGTGTATGTGTATGCGTGTGTGTGTATATATATATGTATATATATACATATATATATACATATATACATATATATACATATATATATATTCAATTGCTTTCAGGATATTGTAAAACCAGATGACTGTAGAATACTAGAAAGCACTTCTCAAATTCTTACAATAATTGAAGATCAACTAATGGCATGTCAACGAGTTCCGCCAAATTCATCTATTGATCATGAACTTATGACGTGAGTAGAAAAGTTAGTACTTAAAGCTATTTTAGATGTGTAGAATTTATTGAATTTTTTTAAATTTCTTTTTTCAACTGATAATAAAAAATTATGATTTTGCTTTTTTTTATATACAAATAGTAATATAAATTATAAATTTTATGAATTAATATACTTATAGATATTTAGAAACTGTATTTAAAAGTTTGTCCTGTATAACTGGATCATTCTTACTTAAAAATGATGCTCATTATGGATGTTCAAGTAAGCATCATGGGGTGGATCTTGATCAAGCTAGTAGATTATTTGGAATTATTAGAGAGTTGGATAACAAAACAATTCAAGAATTGGTATATAAATATAGAATTGGTATAAGAAATATAGATTTTATGAAATATTATTATGTTTGAAATTACAACAAATTTATTATTCTTTTCTCAGATATTTACTTGCATAACAGACAGTTTGATTCCTTCTTTTGTTAATTTATCATCTAAAATAATTTGTACGGAATCTTTAAGAATCTATTTAATATTACCTTTATATCATGGTTTTGTAAATCCTCTTAATTGTAATTCATTGCATAAACCATTCTGCAAAGCTGTTTTAGCGTTAAAGCCAGAGATTCTTAAAACTGTTACAAGTTGGTGGCTTAAGACACCACCCCATTATTTTGAGAGATTAGTTAGAGTTCATAAATCAGTCGTTTTACATTATGTAAAACAATTTAAATCAAATAAGGTAATATTCAAGAGTTATTTATTTTATTATTATAAAAATAAATAATTAATATATCTTAAAAATCTTTATATAGGCTGTATCATGGGATGTGACATTGCAAGTTATCTTAGATTCTTTACATTTATTAAATAAATTGAATAACGAAGGCGATGAAGGCAATAAAGTACCTTATTCTACATTTCATTTACCAGAATTAATAGAACTTATAGATATAAGAACTGATTATATAAAATGGATTTCAGAAAAAGAATCTTTTTCTGTACGTTATGCATATAATTTTCTTAATTTTCTTAATTTTTTATTATAATATTTTCTTATTAAACTTTTGATGCAATCTTCTAAAAATTCTTTTAATCAAATATTTATAATTTATTTACACAATTACAATTTTTTTTCAGTGTCAAAAAGTATTCTGTAATTATCCTTTTCTTCTTGATGCAAATGCTAAAATTATACTTCTTGAAACAGATCAAGCTATTCAGGTAAAATAGAAATTTATATTAAATAAATTTATATATTTTTTATATTAAATTTGCTTATCTATATTAGATGCAATCAGCAATGAATGAGGCAGCAACTCTAGCTGTAATGAATCAAATGTTTTTTGATCCATTTTCTATACCACATCATAATCAATTTGTAATATTGAATGTTTCGCGGGAAAATATTGTTGCTGATACTTTGCGAGAATTGTCACAATATAATTCTAGTGATTTAAAAAAGCCTCTTCGAGTGAGTATTAGTACATAATTTTATTCCATTAAATATTTTATTTGTAAAACACAACTCATAAAGTTAATTTATAAAGGTAAAATTTCATGGTGAAGAAGCAGAAGATGCAGGTGGAGTTAAAAAAGAATTCTTTATGCTATTACTAAGGGAAATTTTAGATCCTAAATATGGCATGTTTAAACAATATGAAGAAACTAGAATTATATGGTTTAGTGAAGATTCACTTGAAGATGAAAATATGTATTTTTTAATTGGAATTCTTTGTGGACTAGTTATCTATAATTTTATTATTATTGATTTGCCATTTCCATTAGCTTTATATAAGAAATTGTTACATGAACCAGTTGGTTTAATTGATATGAAAGATATGTCACCAGTACTTGCCAAGTAAATTATATTTTAATCATAAATATCTTTATATTATATTTTATACTTTATTATATCTTTCTTTCTTAATTTAAAATAAATTTATAAAATAAATTTTGTTATAATATATAATATTTTTAATAATCATTCAATATAATTAATATTATTTTAGAAGTATGCAAAATATATTAGATTATGAAGAAGCAGATTTTGAAGAAGTTTTTGGTTTACATTTTGAAATAGTTAGAGAAGTATTTGGTGAAAAGAAAATATATGAACTCATACCTGATGGTAGTAAAGTTCCTGTTACATGGAAAAATAAGTATGCATATTTTTTTTTTTAATTCTTTGTTTTATGTTCTTATTTTAAATTTTATATTTTAATGAAATTATTTTTGTTTACAGAAAACAATTTGTTGATTTATACGTAGATTATACATTAAATAAATCTGTAGATCTTCATTTTCAAGCATTTTATAAAGGTTTTCATAAAGTTTGCGGCGGTCGTGTATTGGAATTATTTCATAGTTATGAACTTATGGCTGTAGTAGTAGGAAATGAAGATTATGATTGGGAAGAGTTAGAAAAGAATGCAGCATATAAAGAAGGATATACAAAAGATAATCCTACTATTGTATTATTTTGGCAAGTATTTCGTGAACTTCCGTTGGAAGAAAAGAAAAAATTCTTACTATTTTTAACAGGAAGTGATAGAATACCTATACAAGGCATGAAAGCAATCAAAGTAAGTTGTTTCGTATGTTTCATTTCATATTGTTTAATGTAGTATTATAATATTTTTTATTTTAGATTACAATACAACCAATGAATGATGAACGTTTATTACCTGTTGCTCATACATGTTTTAATTTACTTGATCTTCCTCGATATCAAACTCGAGAAAGATTACGATATAAATTATTACAAGCAATTCAACAAACTCATGGCTTTTCATTAGTATAAACTTACTATTGTAATCATGCCATATATAACTTTATCTCAGGCTTAAATTGAAATTTTATTTATATTGAAAAATTATAAATCATTCTATATCTTTTTTTAGAGGCTATATATCTGAGTGGTTAAATAGAAAAATTTACATTATTGTTATTCTATTTTTCTACAATTTATTTAATCTAAATCTAATTAATAATATTTTGTAATCATGATTGTACAAGGAATAGATATATATTTCAAAATGTAAGCAACTGGTTCAAAAAATAACATGCAAATGTTATATTATGTTATTTAAATATTATTCAAATAGGATTTACTAAATTTTTAATTTTATAATTTTATTAATGCTTTATTTTAAATAAAATAGTATTTAAAATTATTATATTATATTTAGATTTCAAAAAAGAGATGAACTCAGGGAAAATTATTAGTAAATATGTAAAAAATATTTGTTAATAGTTTAATTTTTAAAAATTAAAAATACAATTAAATTATTTTAATTGTACTAATTATTTGATAAAAAAAACTTGCACAACAGTGTTAAGAAGTTATTCTACTGTACATGACAAAAGCTTATTTAAATTATAAAAAAATGAAAATTATTATTAAAATTTATTTAAATAATTTATTGCTTTACTTTAGAATAAACATAATAAATAAATAAAAATATGATTTATTCCAAAACTGGATGTCATTCTATAAATTGTATAAAACAATTTATACATTGTTAGTAAATAAACACATTTGACAAAGCAAAACCAATATAACAAAAACATATTTGTGAAATAAAAAAATTTTATCTTATATTCATGTTATATCTTGAAATAAATTTTATTAAAAAAAGAAAAATTATATTTAATAATGTTATTTGTAAATATCTTTTATTTATACACATCGATATATTACATTATTAAAAAGTTTCGTTATTCGTTTAATAGACACATGGTCAATTTCTTTTCAAATATTTTCGATATTAATGATTTATTCATTAATATTTTTCGTATTTTATTCGATTTATTCTAATATTGAGTTCGTTAGTCGTCGAAATCTGAATTAAAAGATTTTTTATCAATGATAATATTCTATAGAAATACGTATTTGACTTAATTGTGATTATTTTATGGAAAATAACAGTGTACTGCTGAAAGCATTAATTTTTATTCATATTTAAAAGAGAAAGACGGAAAAGAATATGATAAATATTTTTAAAATATATATTATTGTTATTTTCAGTTATTGTTCAAATATGAGAGTATAAGTCATGGCAATAAAAAGCCAATGTTCCATCAGTCTCAATATATACAAAATATATTGAAATTCGAAATTTGGATACATTTTAAGAATACATTTTAAGAACCTTTTGTATATCTTGCGAAAATTCTATTATTTTAAACTAAGAACTGGAAGAGCAAAACACGTATAAGTTATACGTGTACAGTTCTAAGTCTTATATATAAAAAAATAAATCGAAACATATATATTAACCAAACATTGAATTATTTTTATATTTATATTTATATTTATATTTTTGGTTCTTTTTTTCAATGCACAAATTTCGAAATTCAATGAGAATGATCCTGAGTGATTTTATTTTTTTGTTTAAAATTTAAAAGAATTTTTGCAGCATTCGAATAAAATATGCATCATGGTTCTCGCAAAAGTTATAAAAATCGAGCTCAGGATAAAATTACGAGAAAAGTAAATAATTTTTGAATAAATTTGCTAATGATGATAAGAAGGAGTAAAATATTGAGTGCCTGGTGGAGCTCGATAACCTGGATATGTATTATTCAAAGCATGTTGAGCGAAAAATCCGGAATAATCCTTCTGCACCCTACGAGGCCTAAAAGCAGGACCTTTTGCCAATTCCATTCTAGCTCTGTTTTCAGCTTCTGTTTGAGCTTTAACTGATGGTGGCGGCCACTTCAGATCTCCTCTCATATTTCCACTTATGGGAGCCTTAGTTGCAGCAGGTTGTGCTTGATAAACTGGCGCTGGTGCCTAAAATAATATTAAATTATTTATAAATGTATATTATCATAACTATATATTGTTTTAATTTTTAAAATATCACACTTTAAATTATTTTTTCCATTTCGAACACTCTATATAAAATATAAATAATTGATAAAAAAAATGATTATTAATATAATTATAATATAATTATTAATATAATATAATCAATAAAGAATAAGATATATGATTATTTTTTAAATCATCTTTTGAATTTTTTATAATTTCATTACATTATTAAAAAATTAATTACGTTTACTATTACCAATTTTTAAAATCAGGATTAATATCCCATTAAATTTCGATAACTCGAATGAATAATATTAATAATGAAACAAAGTTTTTTAAATAAATAAAATTAATAGCGAAATATATTTATCAAATGTTTTTCTTGTATACAATTAGTAATAAAAAAGAATTTTTAATCTAAAAGATATTTTTTATAAAATGATTATTCTTTTGTTCTCTTTCATACAGAAAAATTAGAAATACATATAATATTCGTATAATATTATACCTGTGAAATTGGAGGCTCTGGGCGAAGTATGATTGTGGATGGTGGTGCTTCAAATGTCGTAGGAGCTTGATTTTGTATCGATCGTAGAGAAGTATAATCTTGAGAGTGCTGCTGCAATTAGTAATATGCGATCAGATTAATCCTATAAATTATATATAATTGTAATATAACAAATCATGACAGATCAATGTATTAAATATCTGAAAGAGATACATTTTGAAATTAACAGCCGTTGACTACACGTTTGTTTCCAGAGTAGAGGAGAAAGGTGTTAATAAGTTCCTTCGCGCATATCTTCTTTGAAGCCACCTGTTGAATTTATCAATTGTACATAGGTGTCGACTTTTTAAAATTAAAATCATTTTAATAAGTTTAATCTTATATTTATAATTTTTATTATATTCATTTTTTTTCTTTCTCTATTTGTAGTTTAATAGAAGTTTAATAAAAGAAAATTTTTTTAACATACCACTTTTAATTTATATAATTAATTTTTATATAATCTTATTTTTAAATGATGATATCATTTATGAAATATTTTATTATTTTTATAAAAAACGAAGTTTAATAAAAGAAAATTTTATCCCACATTTTCATTTCGTTCTTTCACATTTATTTCAATTATTAATATACAATATATATCAATATATATTTTGACATAAGTCGACATCTATGTTTCGATTACTTACTTGAAATTGCTGATTCTGTTGTTGCTGTTGATTGTACCAATTTGGTTGAATCGATTGTTGCGGTGAAGTTGCCGGTGGTGTAACCGGATGCCAACCCTTTGGCGTTGATTGGAAATATGACGGTTGTCGCAGTGTTCCACCAGGACTAACCGGGGATGGAGAGGATGGTATAGCACTCCGAGTCGAGGAACGAGCTATCGTTGAGGGCGGCTGAGGTGATGAACCTGATGAGGGACTGCTCTGGTACGAGGCGAGATCACCGATTCCACGGGTCTTTCGAAGGGAGAATAAAAGGGAAAAACAAAGGCTTTTGTAGGTATTTTGTAGGTATTTCTGTGTCGAACAGTGATTACTTTTTGATCATCCTTTTGAATTGTTTTGTGCGAAACATTCGAAGATTTTTCGTTGGAGGAATTTATTATTTCGGGATATCCGCCTCGACAACCACAGTGGTGTAGTCAACCGCGTCGTAAAGTGTGCATTTACAATACGTATTAATATTTTACGGATGTACGAATCAGCAACGTGCACGAAATCCTAGAACGAGACTGTATTATGTTTCTCAAACATTTGTATATAGTTGCACAGTGTAAGATCACGGTTGATTCGAAATAATATTTAAATGTATTTGAGAAATGCTATGCGATAACTATAAAATATTATTTTTACAAAAGAAAAAAGATAAAAAATAAAAAATAATAAATAAGTTATTTTAAAACTTGTTTCTATTTTCCATTTTCTTGTTTATATATATTCGTAATTTTCATTATTTATCTTTAAAAATGATTATAAAATTATGAATAAATTCTATTAAATTTTATATGTTTGTTTTATGATGTTGTTATTGCATTAAAAAATATATTTTATCAATAATTTATTTAATAAATCATACATAATACAAAATAAATAAATTTTATTTTCATTAATATCTACTATGTTCTGTTTCTATTAATTTTTACATCTTAAATACTAATTTTTTCAATATTTTATAAGTAATGTTTTTCACATTATTATTTTTAATTTTATTTAAACTTTAATTTTATATAGCAGTAAAAATGTCGCATACAAAGAATTTAAATAATTAAATTATTTAATTTAATATAAGATTTTATTAAATATTTTTAAATATTTAAAATAATTAGAATATATATTTCATTACTTCAAAGATATCCTTTTCAATCCAATTCAAACCCGAGTTATATGTATTTATATAATATTATTTATTGTTTAAAATTTACATTTTTATAGATAAATTTTAAATTTCTTGAAATCAATGATTTCACAGTATCGTTCTAGATTTATCTAATTACGATTTCACAGCAAGCACGAAAGGAAATATGTACATACATGTATTCATTAAGAAAAAAGAAAGAAAAAAAAGGGAACATTTGCATAACAGATATACGAATAAACAACAAAAAAAAAAATGTAAAAAAAAAAAAATAAGACAAATATCACACGTAATTCGGACAAAAATGCAGAAATCTAATCGCATTCATTACAATAAACATCGACAAAAAGTTGAATTGAAATCGCGTTTAAAAATTCTACAAAATTCGATAATTATGATTTAAGGATATAATTCATATTATAAACAGATGTACGTAATCATTCTATTTAGTATTATTAAGCATATGTATCTATATTTCAATACGATTTTTAAAAATTGTAAAATTTACCTTCGCTTGTATAGGTCCTTGCTCTACAAAGTCGAAATCTTGATCTTCCGGAGGTGGTGGCCAAGCTACGCGCTTGAGACCTGAAAATAATTCAAATAACTTTTATCAAATAATCGTTATTATAATACACAAATTGAAAAATTCATTAAATCAATATATATAGATATATATTGTGAATTTTATATTAGTTACAAAAATGTGCACAAGAAAGCAATGTATTTATATTCATATATATAATTTACTTTTTTTTAATATTTTTACGAATGTGTCTGTTATAATATATAATATGTCAATTTTAAAAGTAAATTAAATAATTTATTATATTATATTTTATATATTATATAATAAATTCTTGTTAATTATATCGATAATAAATTCGATACAAATTCTCATCAACTTTTCTCAATTACTTTTCATCGTATCTCATATTTATATCGTCGCACTTGGCTAGAAATGTTGGATCAAATTTCATTCCTCGTGTTTGATAAAAAGAACCGTGGAAAAGAGTAGTTATTGCGTCAATAAAACGAATTATTATTCTATACCGCAATGTGATACCGGCCAAGTTTATATTTGCGCGATTATTACCGAAGAATTTTCACAATTTCGTCTTGACCTTGTAATATTCTTAGGATCTTTGGTTTTGGAGCCTTGAATATTAAATATCAAAAACACGAATACAAAAATATATTTTAAGGAATAGAAATTAATTTGTTATTAATGAGTCTCTTATATATTTAAATAATTTAAGATTTCAATAGATGATTAACACGTTAAAAGATCCTTGTCTCCATTTTGTATATATTTCAATAATATGGCATTGATAGATTATAAAATTTTAAAATTTTGGATAACACATTATAAATATTTAATATATTAAATATTTTAAATATATTATTTATTTCAATACGATAAAGCAATTTTAATTGAAATTCTATTAAAAAACTAATTGTAAATATAATAAAAAATTTGTTTAATTTTCAATTTTATAATTGTCTTTTTGTGTATAAATCTTTATAAAATTCAAAAATATAATTTATTTCTATATGAATATAATTTTAATAAAAACTATTATATTTTAAATGTATATAATATCTCTGTATTGTATCACACTTGAACTAATATTAAGTTGTTATACTAATTTCTAGAAACTTTAATCTAAAAGTTTCGTGTATTTTCATAAAACAAATACATACATATAAAGACTTGTATGTATATAAAGTTTTAATACAAACTTTATAAAATAAACTTTTGTTAATAAAAAATATCAATTCTTTTCATATTATTTTTATTTCAAAATAGTCTGAAATATAATTACTTGTATATGTAATATGTTAAAAAAAATTGTAAAAATGCAATTTCTCGCGCACTCAATGAACATTGCACAAATCACAGTTTATAATATGCTAAATTCCTGACACAATAAAACCACAAAAATTGCATCACTCATACGAAATCATGATTTATAAATCATATACACACGCCGAACATTACATATTAAACTTTCACTGGCAACTAGCAATTGGAACAAATATTCTTCACAAAACGTACCGTTATTCTACAAGAATTACACGTTTTTCTACAAGAAATTCATTTAGTCAAATACAAAGAAGAAATCAAAGAAGAAGGAAACGACATTGCCAAAACGAATACTCGCCAACAACTGATGCTATCCCGAAGTCACCTATACCTTTCATTATCGCAGATCATTCTAACCACCGATTTTGGTGAATTTTTGGTAACTGGCCAATACCTGGGGATTAGTATAAAGAAGTGAAGTGATGTTATAAATTTAACGAGTATCAGTTTTAAAGAATGACACTTCGTTTAACTATTTAACTATATTTAAAGAATGATATCTTATTTTCTATTAATAATCATATCATATGTTGTTATCCAAATATATTAATCAAAGATCAAGATATTTTGTTGTATTGGTATTAAGTTTTTTAACATTTTAAATATCAAAGATTTAAATAATAAGAAAATAATGATAGTTTAACTTTGTATATTAAAATATTTAATATATTTTTCTATTAAATTTAAAAATTTTATTTTAAAAGAACAAAAAAAAAATATATCTTTATTTTAATATATTTAAATGCAAAAATTAATATTTATGAGTTTAGAGATCACATATATATTGATTTTAAAACATTTTATAGAGATTATTAAATGTTATTAGAAGAAAGAAAAGGAATTTAACTTTTTTTAATCATGAAAATAATTATGATAATTAAATGAAATTCTTTTTGCTATTAAAAGAGCAAAAAGAACCATCATTCAAAATTAACACAGAATGATCATATCCTTATTTGTTATTAAATTTGGATCAACGCGATATGATACTATGATCAAATTATCAAGCAGGGATAGAAAGCAAAATCTAAGAAAGGATCTTTCAAAGCTTTTCGTGCAAGTGATATTGTTAGTGTTCACCTCTCCGTAGATACGTTAAACTGGCTTGACTGAAAGTGATATTAGTCTCCCTGGCTCATGATTAACAGCTTGCAGCATAAGATTCGCTTCTTGTTAGTCTTCTTCATTTAGGTTAATGCGCGACTTCGTGCTTCAGTGGCTGAAATCTTTTGATTAATTTTCTTTTATACAATGCATACGTCGTCTTTTCGTAACAGTTAAAATTTAAAATCGTTTCTTGCGAATAAATCATATTATTTTTAAACGAGAAAAATTCATTAAAAAATCTAATTTGTCTAAGTGTCTTTTATTTGTAAATGTATCTTTCACAGAGTGATACGAATTAATAAAATATTTAAGTTTTTACTTCGATCTGACCAAAAAAATATTTTCTTGTGTCTTAATTTTGACTTCTCGCCAAATATGTGAAACGATAGAAGAACACTTGTATCTTAAGTCAATATTGATGCAGTAATATTTTTGAAGAATTAAATGGATAATTTAGAGAATCATTGAATTAATATCAAATTAATTAGATTCTTAAAAAATATTTTAAAATTGTGGAATTTATTTATTGTACATATATAGCTATAAATTTTTCATTATTTTTAAAGAATTTGAAATCGTTTATTAAGATAAATTTAAAATAATTACACTTTCTTGTTACGAAAGTTCACTGCACTGAATAATAGACGTTTCTCTAAACTTATATAATATTATTTACCGGTTTATTATTTTATATTTGCTTATTTATTTAAAAGATAGATATTACATATTATAAAAATTCATTCAATAGCAAGAAACGATTTATCTGAAAAAAATTGAACGATTTTTATTTATTTACCAGCTTGACCAGCTCGTTGCCTAGCCTCTTCTTCTTCGAGCATTCGTAGAACCGCACTATTTTGTAAATTTGCTGGTTTTGCGAGCTGATTGAAATCAATTCTGAAAAATCCACAAAAACATGAGTTATTATAAATAATAACATGAATGATTATTATTAATATTATAAAGTTTTTATAATTATACTTTCCATTTGATTATATTATATTCTAACAATATAATTTCTATTGTATTATAAAATTCTCTCTATTCTCTATATTTCTTTTTTCTTTTTTTTATTATAAAATTTAATTATAAATATTATTTTGTTTTAGCAAAATAAATTCATTTTTATCTTTTAATAAAAGGATAATAAAAATTTAAAATTTTTGAAATCTCATGCAGTTCAAAATTTTGATATTTACATGTATTATATAGATATTATAAAAATAGATGTACATTTCACATAATGATTTACAATAATATTAGAAATAAAAATTGAATCAATTATTAATATAACAATCGTTATATTAAGAGCATTACATCGATTTTTTTTTTCTATTCAATCAATTATTTTTTTGTTTAAACAAAATTACACATTTTCCATAAGAAAAATATTACAAATTGAAATCAAGAAATTTATCGAAAGAGCAAAGCAAGTAAATGATTCGCTAATATATTACAAATATCAAATAAAATAACGTTAATACTAACTGTAACACAAACTTTTTTCTAGTAACTATAAAATGATAAATGAAAATTGTTGACTAGTAACACTCTTTTTATAGAGATGCGATCGTAAAGAATGAAATGTAGGATGATCACCTGGTCTGAGCGAGCATCTTCGTTACGAGGGAAGGGCGCACGATACCGAAGGGAAGTCGTATAACTGATACGCGAAAACCGGTGGTGAACGGTACACCCCGAGGCCACCAAACGCAAAACTAAGTCAAGTACGACAGTGTTCGTGGATTTTGCGCAATAGCTATAGGCTCTGAGAGGGGTTTATTTCTAACTCGTGTGATTCGGACCTCTGAAAATAACGATTCGCGCGCCAATGACGACGAGAAGGCTGATTCATCGACCTGCAACCGGTCAGCATCCACACTGATGGAAAATCGATATAAATCCATCGAACGATATATAATGATCAGATGCAGCCTCTATTTTCATTGATGCAAAGTGGTCGCAGATATCAATCGCTTCTCTCAATAAGTTTTACTATTGATTCTTAAACTCAAACTTCCGAATTTATATAATATAATATAATGGAACAGAAAGTTTTCAAATAATATTTTGAAAATAATTATATATACTTCATGAAATATTTATATTATTTTAAAAATAAATTAATTTTTAAGTAACTTTAAAAAAATAATTTTAAAATAATATTTTTTAAAAATGTTTCTTAAAAAATTTCAAAATTCAAGTAAGAATGTATTCAATTTATATCTACATAAATACATATCTACATAAATATATTTTTTAATTAATTGATAATTAATTGAACAAATTGTATTAGATTTTGATAAAGAGAGGGGGGGGGGAGAGAAGGTATGTATGTTCAAGAAAAAAAAATTATAAAAATAAAAAAATTAAAAGAATTAGATTAGATTTTAATACAAATTCTGTTTTAATGATATACGTACTTGAATGATTTTTGCGAAAAAAGAATTATTTTTATTTGATATTATTCAAAAAGTTTCTTTTTATTATTATAAAATTGTGAATTCTTTTTAGTACAATTATCTTTTTAAAACAAAATTAGAAAATTTTCTAAGAAATGAAAAAAAAAAACTTAATAATATAAATAAATTGAATTTATGAAAATAAAATTTACGTTAATATTTAATATTACAATTCTTAAATGTAAAATATAATTATATTATAATATATATATATA